GGTTTATGTGTGTGTTTGTGGGCTGAACACCTGCTCATTGTGTGTCTCATCTAGTGTTCATTGCTCTTTATGTGCAGTCATTCGTTTTATTACACTTCTTTCACAGAAAAGCACTGCAGGTCTCATGAATCCACATCAAATCACATCCATGTCCATCTTTCCTTTTCAGAGTAACTGATGGATTTTAAGACCAAGAACACAAATTAAAAAGGTAAGTAATAGTCAGTTTTACTTCACTGAGGAGTAATTCACCCAAAAATCATCATCTCACCCTGATTGTGCTGAAACACAGATGATTCTTCCTCAAGCTCTCGAATCTCATTCACATCTTCACATGCTGTAGAGCTGCTGAAATTACATTTGCTTCAGAATCGATGAATTTTACAACATTAACAGTTATTTTCCTTTTAATTTCTGCAGCTCTATTCAGTTCAGGTTTTGTTCTCATCTGATCTAGTCAGTGCAGTTAAAACAATAATATGACTGAATATTAATTGTCTTTTAAGGCCCAAAATGTCTCATATTCCCATCAACACTGTCAGATAAATGTGTGAATGTTCATGACACCTTCAGCTCATCACTGGTGTAATCTTCAGAAGTTCACGTCTGTCCTTCATCGGACTCTAATGGGTTGAGATCAGTTGATGAAGCTGATGTTCAGATGAAGGACAGACGTGTGTCTGTGAGATGAACGCTGTTGTTTCTCCTGCAGCATCAGCAGCAGTGATCAGAGGAGAAGCTGCTGAAGGTCTCGCTGGTGTTTTATTGTGCTGATGGAGCATGTGATCGTCCTTCAGACAGAGCCGCACCGATAAACACAGAACGACAGGACGGGAGCGCCTGACATTTCCTGTGGCGTGTGTGTGTGTGTGTGTGTGTGTGTGTGTGTGTGTGTGTGTGTGTTTGTGAGCAGCAGATGGTGTTCAGTGCTGGACGTGTGATGCATCAGAGGAGCATTTAGGATTCACATTCACTTCAGTCGTTCATAATCAGATGTGTTTAAGGCTGAAGTTCAAGGTCCGATTATAATCACACACACATGCACACACTCACTTTCACTCACACTCACTCACACACAAGTGCATGCACTGACACACTCGTACTCTCACACGCGCACACATACCTTCACTCACACTCACTCTCACACACTTGACTCACACTAATACTCTATTTCACACATGCACTCAGTTTAACTCACACTCACTCTCACACACAAATTCACACTCACACACTCAATATACAACTCTTACTCTCACTCACCCACTCACTCCAACATGCGCACACACTCACTTACTCTCACACTCACTCGTACTTTCACATTCGAACTCTCACACACTCACACTCTCACTCACTTTCACACACACAAACGCACACACTCACACTCATTTACAACTCTTACTCTCACTCACACACTCACACACTCTTACTCTCACACTCACTTTCGCACACACTCACTTACTCACACACACATACACACGGCCATACTCACACTCATTCGTACTCTCACACACGCTCACACACACTTCCACTCACACTCACTCTCACTCTCACTCATACTCACACACACATGTGCATGCACTCACACTGACACTCTTACTGTCACACTCTAACTCATACTCACACACACTCACTTTCACACACTCTTACTCTCACACACACACTCACACACACATGCACTCACACTGACACACTCTTACTCTCACACACTCACTCATACTCATACTCACACACACCCACACACTCACACTCACACTCACATTCACACACTCTTACTCTCACACACTCACTCATACTCTCACACACTCACTCATACTCACACACACATGCACTCACACTGACACACTCTTACTCTCACACACTCACTCATACTCACACACACACTCACACTCATATTCACACACTCTTACTCTCACACACTCACACTCATATTCACACACTCTTACTCTCACACACTCACACACACGTGCATGCACTCACACTGACACTCTTACTGTCACACACTCACTCATACTCACTCACACTCACTTTCACACACTCACTCATACTCACACACACATGCACTCACACTGACACACTCTTACTCTCACACACTCACTCATACTCACACACACTCACACTCATATTCACACACTCTTACTCTCACACACTCACACTCATATTCACACACTCTTACTCTCACACACTCACACACACGTGCATGCACTCACACTGACACACTCTAACTCATACTCACACACACTCACTTTCACACACTCTTACTCTCACACACACACTCACACACACATGCACTCACACTGGCACACTCTTACTCACACACACCCACACACTCACACTCATATTCACACACTCTTACTCTCACACACTCACACACACATGTGCATGCACTCACACTGACACACTCTAACTCATACTCACACACACTCACTTTCACACACTCTTACTCTCACACACTCACACACGTGCATGCACTCACACTGACACTCTTACTGTCACACTCTAACTCATACTCACACACACACACCCACACACTCACTTTCACATACTCTTACTCTCACACACTCAGTCATACTCGCACACACTCATACTCACTTTCACACACTTACTCTCACACACTCTTACTCTCACACACTCACACACACACACACACACACACACACACACACACACTTTCACACACTCTTACTCTCACACACTCACTCATACTCACACACACTCACACTCACTTTCACACACTTACTCTCACACACTCTTACTCTCACACTCTCACTCATACTCACACACATACACACACTTTTTCCATTGTCTTTTAGATTATTGCGTAAAATGAGCTCTGTGACCAACGAAAGTTTAAGATTCTTATTTGTTTTGTCTTCTCAAAGAACACACCTTTTATGAATTTTGAAGCCTAAATGCAGAAGTAAAAAGCTAAACGTAGACTATAAACAAGCTCACATGACTTCAACATCACCATTAATCTCCAGCAGCTCCTTCAGTCTTTATTTAAAAGCATTTTCGCAGTTTGAAAGTAGACAAAGTAGATACATGGTAGATTATGTTTTTACTCACACTCTGTAATAATGGACAGGCGTCTCTTATTGACTGAGGATTTGTAATAGCGCTGTAATAGCGCTGAAGAACATCAGAAACCTTAAGATCAGTCTGTGGACTGAAACCTCGTCCAGAAGAACAGGAGATGATTGTGACGTCAGCAGAGCTAAGGAGAACCTGCTCTATATGAACCTTCATCATGTGTTTAAAGAGCTCCGATCACGAGGAGCTTCATCCTCTTTAATTCACATTAGCACATCAATAAAATCAGCTTATAAAGATTAGAAGTCGCATGATAAAGAGTCGATCGTGTAGCTGCTCATGTTTTTACCTATTGGTGGTTGAACATCCCATATGCCAAAAACTATATTTTCAAATATATTTCACAAATATACCAAAAAATGGCAAAAATATATATTTGCTAAAATATGTTTCGAAATATATTTAGGTAAATATATTTTGGCCATTCTTTAAATATTTTGAAATATATTTTAAAATATATATTTTTGGCCAAATGGGATGTTCAGCCACCAATAAATATAAAAAATATATATATAAATAATTTTTTTAAGAGCATTTAAAAATATATTTTGCTCTATGTATTTCAATCCAAGAAAATATTCACATATGTCACATTTGAAGAAAATTGTAATTGTTGTCTGTAACACGTATAACACATCTGAATAAAATTAAACCATGAATACGTGTAAAATGCTACTCACTCATTCTGTGAATGCTGAGAGCTGTTTAAACACACACATATATACTGTAACGGTTTGTGTGGTGTAGTGG